GTGATCCATGCACATCCAGTGATGATTACGCAATATGATCCAAACCCCAGTAGATTTCATAAACCATTCTGGCCGAAGTGTTTTATTTTTGACCTGGTTTGGTTATTGTTTCGACAAAATAGGTAGCTGTTTTTCCAAAGGATTTTTTAAAAACTTTTGTTGTGCATATGTACTATGGTGCTACTAAATAACAATGTATATAAATGACGCATTTTGTGGGAAATATAAACGATTTATAATGAATAGTTGGTAAGAGATCTTCATTCATCTGGATCTTCAGTCATAAGACACAGTACAAATAAAATAGATATTTTGTCTATATAGAAAATATTAAAGGAAATAAACTGTATTTTGAAGCAAAGCTTTGAAAAAAAGTATATTACTAAGCCCATCCTTTATGTTTTTTTTGTTTTCTGTTTTTTTGCTGAATAAATTCCCCAGTAATCAACCTCTTCTACATTCATTGGCACTAGTAAAGTTGTGTAAGAAGTCTTACATAGAATTTATCATTTACTGTCGTGGCATATTGTCACTGTGAAATGTTTAGTAAAATAAGTCCTTTCTTTTGAATACTTAGAGAATAATAATTTCAACCAAGGTAGATGCGACATTAGATGTCACAACTATTTCCAACATTTTATATATATATATACATATATGTATATATATACTGTATGTAACCCACCTTTTTAACCTGCAGCTGGTGGAAGACACCCTATGGACTCTGCGTTGTGTTTTCTACAGGTGGGATGTGTTCCGTGCAGAGGAGGAATCCGACACAGGGTTCTTAGTTGTGGGGAGAACTTGCAACGTTTATTTCCTCCACCTTACAGGCAGTAAAACACACTGTCAGCATTCATTTTCTTTTTTAAAAATAATCAAACAAAATGTAATTTGTGCTTAACTGTCAAACTAAACAAACAGAAATAGCTCAGTATATTAGTGTAATGCATTTTTTTTTTGTTTAGAGAGAGAGAGTTAGAGAAAGCGCATTTTATTATCGGAGTTGACAAAAGGTTTGTAATGGATGATTCCCCGAAAAATTCAGTGACTGCATTCCAAACAGTAAAAGGAAATGAGTGATTTATGATTTAAAAAAAATAAAAATAAAAAAACACCCAGAAGGTAGAGTTGTCGGGAAAAATCCTGCCTTTCAGAAGATCTATCCTCTGTGTCTCTACCAGTATCTGTCTGATGATTTTCCATATTTCAATATGGCTAAGTTAAGCTAATTGTCTTTACAGTTTAACTCTTGTTTTTGAGAAGATACCTGGACGTATTTCCCCAGAGAAGAGCTCATGAACATTAGGGTAACATCACCAGAGAATTTATTCCCTACTTTTCTTTTCTTCCTCTTAATTTAACATCCTAAGTTTGCTGAATGATGAGTACCCCAAAGTGAGACATATGCTTTTGGTTTTGGCGTTTCTTTTATCAGTATAGTGATCCCAAATATGTCCAAATTATTTCAGATATTGTTTCTGAAATATAATCATTCTTCTTTTGTAGGCTTTCCAGGGCATAGACCTTAATCCTATAAGAAAGAGCTGTGGGTTAAATCTAAAGAGAAGAGAGCTGATGAGGGGATGAATCAGAGTTATATAGAGAGATTCTGCTTAGATAAATAGTCTGAGATTCCACTCTTTGTTTGCTCCAAACTTTGTAAAAAAATAGTAGAAAAGGTGGTGCCCTAAAATTAATATTGCCCTTTTGAGCTGTAATTTGTACAATTTAATTAACTGATGTCTAAATTGGAGATATTATTGTTTATTGTTTGTCAGTGTTTTGTTAAAGGAAGGCAGAAATGCATGTTTAGATTATAATTTTTGTTTTGTCCTAATCAATAGAATATCAGCACATTTATATTTTAGAAGGTAAGGTTAGATATGTGAAAAGGTAGTGTAAGATCTGTCTTTACTTTTGAATTTATGTGGCCATTACTGCAGTTCCAAACCCTAATTGAATATTTCTATTAAATTGTTATAAATATAAATTTAGTAGCCGGCCACTATTTATCACACGTCATCCTAAAGTAGCAGTCTCTCAGGATGCTTTAGAAACTGCAAAAACAACTATGTGTATTTGTTATGGAAGAAAACATATTTAGCGAGAAGATCTTAGCTGCCTTAGACTTCAGAATTTGTGTATAATATGTTTGTATATGCCTAATGTTTCTGTTATTTTATTATCTGATGTCACTGTTAAAGCATTCCCAAGGTTGTTTTGAAAGCTTTTCTTTTGACTTTGCAACCATATAGCCACACTTATTTAGAAAGGACAGAACTGTACACTGAAAGTGGTCCTTAATTGATTCAGGATATCACACTTTCTTCTTTTTGTGGCTTGGAAAAGCAAAGAAAGATGGAAAAGCCATTGAAAGCTTCCAGCATATTGAGATACATTAAAACGATAGGATGCAAATGTTTCACAAGACAATTTCCTTTTGTGATTTAACCACGAAACAAATCTATCCTATTTATTGATCATTTGTTCATGTATGCTTTCACATAAAGCAGATACAATTACATTATTTTCTATATAGGGACCAAATATCTTGTTATTTACTGTATTAAAATGATGTTTATTTAGTGAACACAGTAAAAACATATTTAGGCATTTGGTTTTATGAGAATCATTTTCAAACAGTAGAATAAGGATGGGTATTTTTGAGTTTCTTGTGTTAAGTCTGAACAACAACAAAACAAACCTATTTTTCTTTGCCCCTGATTAATTGGTTAAAGGAGAACTAAAGTTATGTAGGTAAATTAAATTATAAAGCATGTTTTAAAAAAAATAGATTGCAAGTGCTGATCTTTAAATTATAGGCATAGAAACACATGAATACAACAACATCAGGGTCAAATTTCAACATTGCTCTAACCTTCATTGGATGAAACGCTTTAAAAAAAAGTGTTTTTAAAAGGCTTGTCTTATTCCAGAGTGTTGGAGCCATGCCTGAAAATTACTCCTTCATACTCGTTTTAAGGACGATCTAAAGTGAAGTGAGGATAAACCAATGAAATGGAGTTAACCTTAAGAAACTCTGCTTAACGGCAAAGCTGAATCATTTGGGACAAGCTAAAGACGTGCAAGAGCGATAAACGGTATAATAACTGTCAATAAAAAATGGTGTGTAGGTGTCTAAATTTGTAAATGTAAGTCGAAAAATGTGAGTAAATTTAAGATTAATTTGTTTCTTGTTATGAATCCTTTCATAGATGTTTCATTGAAGTATGAATCATAAGTAAAACACAAGTTACATTTTTACCAGTATGAATAACAAATGTTGAAATTTGTATCTACGACTGCTTATGAAGCTGTTACACTCATTACCAGTTGGTGGCGGAAATAAACCTTGAGGTTGTTCATCAGCCGCCATTAAATAAGAGAAAGAAGAGGAAATCTGAGCCATAGATCAATTTTTTTAATTTTGCTGAAATTTTATTTTCAACACATGCTGTAAAACATTCGAACAATGTGCTGGGAGCTTAAGAAATTTTTATTTGGTATTGTTTGTAGCTAAAAAATACCTTGGTAGGTGGCCACTAACTGCCCCTTCACTTAACCATGAATAGATTAAATGGGAACAGTCTCAGATTGATAAACAACTAAACCCAATGTCCTAAACATTTGTTAAAAGAAAAGAAAAAAAGGATTTTGTAGGGACCTATTCAAGAAACAAGAGAGGTCTTGTTCCACTCAACTTTAGCATTTTAAAGCTCAATTAAATAAATTTCAAAAACACCATATTAATCCCAGAGATAATTCAAATGTTGTTGTAATTATAGCCATGCTGATGGCTTTTAGCATTGATTATGTTACAGTGGATCTGGAAAGCCTTCAGCTGGAGATATTTTGTAAAATTATTTCTAGAGGTTCTAGAGGATTTGCAAGAGCAGAACCGGCCTTTTTTTTTATCATATTCATTAGTGTCTTTAGGTCGTTTGCATATTGCTACAAAGACTCAATGATCTGAGCTACCTTAGCGTAAAGAGTCTTGAAGACAAAGTCAGTGGCTTCTGCAGCCCAATCTGTTTGCAAGTGAACATCAAGGTACTTGATACTTCTTCACTATCTCCACTTTAACATCAGTGGTAAAAATCAAATAGTAAGGCTGTGTTAAGTTTGTGTTAGTCTACTTTAGTTCACAAAATATCAAATGGTTTTGTTAACTTTTAAAATAAGTTAACTAACATATGTTTATCAAAGAGATATTTTAAGGATCTCTTGCTTTATCAAGGAAAATCCTTTCATTATACCTACAAAAAAATCTTGAGCAAAGTTGAAGTAACATTTATTTTCCTTTACATAGATACGTTCAGGTTGATAATAAGTTTTGGAAGCTAATAAATTTATTTTTCCTCAATTAATTATCAAAAATTAAATAAGAAACTTAATTAAAACAATAAGATCATTTGAAAAAAAATCTCATAATCAAGTCTTTTAAAGATTTTTTTTTACATTGAGATCAGTTAATTTGTATTATTGGGATGATTGTGGGACAAACACTGTATCATTAAATACAACACACAGCAAAGCTTTACTCATAGATCCCTGTCTTCTGCTTATCTGCTTATTGGGACTGCATCACAGTAGGAAACAATCTCAGTAGACTTCCAGACTTCTCTCCCCCAGGACACCTCCTGCAGTTCTGCTGGGTGAAGCCCAAGGCAGTCCCAGGCCAGAGGGGACACATAGGCTACATTCACACAACAGCCTGAAGTGAGCCAAGTAAACACAGAGCACGCTCGCTTGTGATGTCTTTGCATCCTCTATTGTGCATACGGGACACTTAAGTTGTATGAATGCAGTTCGCACAGGTGATCACATTCAGGTCACATATGTTTGAAATTGTGAACAACCATGAAAAAGAATTGGATTTCACAAAAAAATCAGAATTGACTATCAAGGACTGCGGTGTGAGCCATAGTCTCTCCAGTGTATTCCGGGCTGCCTGCCAGGCATGCTGTTTAGTTTTCTTTTCTCCATGTCTTATAGTCCTAGTAATTTAATTATTATTTTGTTGTTATTTCCAGTCTTCCAGGTTTCCTTTTGTTGCTCTCTTCTGCCCTCTTATGTTCTCCTTCTTCCCTAGCTCTTTCCCTCTCTTGTTCTGTGCACACCTGCTCCCAGTTTCCTCATTAGCCCTCTCTTTGTCTCAGTCTCCTTTAAAAACCCTCTCTCTTCAGTTCCTCTTTGCTGGGTCCTCCTCATACACCATCTAACTTCGTCTAACAACTTTGTCTCTCTGAGCCATCCTCCTTGAGTTTTGATTCCCTGATGTCTCCATGGTTTTCTGGTTTGTTTTCTACTTATTTTTTCATGTTCTGAATTTTGGATTCCTGGTTTCTTGTTTGTTTGGACTTTGTTTTTTCAGTTACTCTTCATTAAATCTACCACAATTTCACCTCTGCCTGCCTCTGCTTTTGGGTCCACAACCCTCAAACAAATCTTGACAACCTCAGCTGACTCGTCTCGATGAGGAGAAGAAGTGGCTCTACTACAAGCCTCTCCTGGATGTCTGAGTTCCTCATCTCCAAATAAATGCACAGCCAAACCTGCAGAGTAAGCTCATTGTAGCTACTTGTATCAGTGATATCGTTATTTGGGTTATGATGTCAATTTCATGACCGTAGGTGAGGTTAGAAGTGTAAACCGACCACTAAATCGAGAGCAGACCACAGTTCACCACACCACACTGGTGCAACATTCGTATATAGTGGCAGCTGCAAAATGTAGTCTATAAATGTTTAACCCAAACTCCAGTTAATGAATAATAAAGGGACCCTGACTCCATACTCCTGGATTCCCCCCCAAAGGACACTACCAGGTACATGGTTGATTGCCTTATTCAAATCTAACAAAAAAGAAAACCATGAGAACTACTTGGGCAAACTACCATGGTCCATTGTTTTACAGCTGGGACGAAAACCACACAGCTCCTTCTGAAGCCAATATTTAACAATCAATCCGATTCTCCTCTGCAGCACCCTGGCATAGGCCTTCTCTGGAAGGCTAAGAAGTACCATTGTTGAAACAAAGTCTGCAGTACAGGCATAACCCAGACATAATTTGGACACTTTCCGCATATTAAATCTAGCCAAAGGTGACTTGGGGTGTGTACAGCTGTCTGTGTTCAGCATTTTAAGTCAACATTTTTTTTTTCTCTCTCTCCTGCTGCTCCCGAGTCTAAAGTCATGCAGGTAATACTCCTAATCCTACAGCTCTGGATCTGTCACTTTGATATATAATATGATTGATAGTGGCTCCTCACTGCGTACATTGCATTGATGGGAGGAGAGACAAAACACAGTAGCAGTAAATTTAAACAGGCAGCTTATTTGGATTTAAGAGCTAGGAGATGGGTTGAGATGCCACCAAAAAAGTTGAAATCTTCAAAAAAAACAAAAAAAAACAAAAAAAAAACAGCAAAAGCGTGGTTATGCTAGGCACTAGGAAGGTTAGCATCACATGGCAATAAAATTGACAAAACATAGCGTTTAAATGTTGTGTTCCTCTGTACTAGTTTAAAAAAGCAATTCAGTTCAGGACCTCAGAGGACCTTGACTCACAGATCCAGGTAAAAATTAACTAATCTTTGTTGATTTCTACATAAAAAGAAATTTACCAGAGGTTCTAGATATACAAAATTGCTGAGATTAGAAACTCATAAAGAGGTAGCTTGAAAATTATTTTCTCTAGCATCATTATACTATTAGTAGACAGCTTCACAAATATGTTTTTCAGTAAAGCACCGAGACAGAAAAAGGGACAGCTGCAGATTTAAAGTTAAAACAGATTTACTGGGATATGCAATATGATATAATATTTCTGTCAGAAATATTTGACAATAAAAAACATGCAATATTTAAAATGCACTTTTTTAATACTACATAATAGATTTAATACTAGATTTAATAGACAGACAGACAGACAGACAGACAGACAGACAGACAGACAGACAGACAGA